TCCGATCAAACGCTGGAACACCGGCGAAATCTAATCGAAGCCTCCGTCAGCCCCTCACCGGTCATAGGAACTGGCCCTTGAGGCCGGTAGCTGACTCGGCTGGACCGGTGAATATCGGGATTTCGAGATGAGTGGTAGAAATGACCACCACCTTGAATTCATGGCCAGCGTCAAAGGTTCGATGCCTAGCACTTGTGATCTGACCTCAGACCAAGGCTTTACCAAGCAACACGGCGCTTACATATCTCTCCCCTGTACGACACTGGCGCTCAAAGAAGAAGGTGAAGGAGCTGGAATGACTGAGCTCCTCCGAGCACGTAATTATAGAGCAGCCCAAGAGAGCGTCAAACTAACGCACACAGCTAAGCGCATATGCGTCCCGAACATCAAAAGGGTGCTCGTAGCTGCAAAATAACCGAGGAGTATTGTGCTGCGCCTTGAGTGCAACACCAAAAGGCTACCTGGCACCTGACAAAGAAGAACTGATTTACATGTTGTCCAATAGGAAGAGGCGTTGTCAAGCTGACAGCTTACCCCGAGTACCCCCAGTCTTGACAAAGAACCTGAAACACAATGCATTGCCCCTATGACTAACGAACTCCTAAAACAAGGGTATAGCCAGTCCCGAATATGCTGCTGCTCACACAACCTAACCTCGATGTAATACGCCAGATGCCAATAGACTCCTCCCCACCAATCCTTCTACTCCCCAGCCCTCGTCCTCCGCCGCGGCGACCTCCTCAGGTGCACATCCTGCAACGTCGACGCCTCGATTATACTATCATTCAGCGACATCATCGTCGCACCATCCTCACCAACAAAGCTTGTGTCCCCAACCAACTGCTCCTCCCTTACCCACCCGCACTCAACCGCAAACCTGACCACATCGCCCGCACTCGAAAACGACAGCACTGTCCTCGGCGCCCCCGGGTCAAGGTGCAACCACATCTCCCGCGTTTCCTTCTTAAACATGCTCAACCCCTTCTTCTCCCCCCGGAAGTTGTCCACGAGGTACTGATACGTGTACGCCAGCCACAGCACGTTGGTGTAAGGGTAGTACCCCTTCCAGTCTATCCTCTGCCCATCCACGTCCAGGGCGTAAGGTTTGTTGTGAGACTTCGGCGGGAGACAGACCCTATCCCCTTTGAGCAGGAAGGAGCGCATCTGCCTGTAGACTCTGCACTGTGCTGCGTGCGTGCTGGTGAAGATGCCGAGGTCCTTCTCCAGGTCGTAGGCCACGGCCTCGCCATCTTCGTCCGAGGCGCGCGAGAGGCCGTAGTCGAGGATCGTGATGTCTAGGCCGGAGTAGCCGAATTGGCATGGAGTGTCGTCCGTTTTGCTGGTTGGTTGTGACGCCTGCCTGATGCACAGGTTCCCCTCGTGTAGGTCGCGGTGCTCGAACCTGGCGAGGTCCTCAGCGCGAGCCAGAGCAACCGCCGTGAGGAAGAAGATATCCCACAGCTGAGTTGGACTCTCGATGGGGAAGTCCTCCAGCGCCGTGCCGGCATCGCCCAACTCCACTACTAGAAATCTTGTGTCGTCAAGGTACCGACTGGGAGAAGGGTAGAACTGCAGTCTGTCCGGATCCTTCCTCTTCGTCTTACGATGGAAGCACTGGTGAGTCTCAAGTAGCGCTTTGGTCGCTTTACCTCGGACGACATATCGCTCCTTGTACACCACGAAGCCGGGTATGTCGGCGAGCCACTCCGAGATGCGTAGCTCGCCTGCCAGATCGTCTTCGGAGTGCGGCTCCTCGTCTACTAGTCCCGAGTTCTGCTGTGCCTTGGTTTGCGGTTTTATAGGTGATTCTAGGCGAATGACTTTGATGATGCTGGTTCCCCTGGGGTTGGTGACGCGGTAGACCTCGGCGTAGGAGGCTTCTGCGATCTTTTGGATCTGGTCGCCAAAGGGGCAGACGTCGTCCCACGTCAGTATCCGGAGGTCCGAGTTTGTTGCTGTTGAGTAGTCCGTAATGCATGACGTCTCCTCTGGTTCTGGTTCCTGTTCTGGCTCAGCTGCCTTCTCAGGTGTTGGTGTTTGTTGTTCCTCATCCTCCTGCCTTGGTTGTTGATCGTCAAGGGTTATTGTGACCAGCTTGTCTGTCAACTCAGTAACCGACTCCTCCTGTTCTTGCTTGCTCTTTATGGGGCTTCTGGGCAGCTCAGCAAAGAGCCGCTCCGATGTTATGGGCTTCGTTCTCGCTTTGCCATATCTCCTCACCGGCCTCGACATTCTCCTTATGGCGTTAATTGGAGGAAAGAAGGTTACTCGCAAGGGGTTTCAATGTATTCTGCCGTCATCCGATGTTATAGCTGGTATCTTTCCAATATCGTTGTCACTAACACGTGCTCGAGCCTGAATTTGGGACAATGTTTGGATCCAAGTGGCCGTTGAGGGGGCAACCACCGGACAAACTCACTCGGCCGATCTCCACATCCCCGGGTCTCGTACCCCAAATAAGCACGGACCACATCCGAAAGTGCGGGACGGCCAATTTCGATTTCTTTCCGGCCAGAGCTGCGGAGTGAATGAAGCTCCTCTTGAAGCTCCGCAGAGGAGTTCCAACGACCCTTCATCCTCCCATCAACCATCACATCGAAACCAACCATGGCGCAATTGCTAAACAACCTCTTTGGAGGCAGCAAGACCACCGCCAAGGCCATTCCTACGGGAGATGCAGGTAAGTCAATGTCTCTTCTTCTGCCCTCAGGCATGTGTCGCGTGTCGCACAATGACGCAACGCTAACCTGACCCCTTTTTCTACCACCACCAGACTTCGCAGACTTCGCAGACGCACCCGCGCCAGCACCACCCGTATCACCCGTCGATGTCAATGCCGCTCCCGGCATCGCCCGCGGGCCGGCACCCACTGGCGTTCCTTACACGAAATGGTACAACGTGCACGAGCGGCACTCCCTCTCCGAGTTTCGCGCCGAGGGCTTGATTATAGCATGTATGGCCGTCATCCTCGTGCTGCACCTCTTTGGCGCCCGCCTCAACCGTTCCAAGGCCCGCAAGTGGGCGCGCGCCCACGCCGGTACCTTGATCGACCAGTTTGCTCTCGTCGGTTTTGCGCCCGTCACCCCGAACGCGGCAGACAAGACCGGCGAGGAGCTGGTTGCTACCCTTGCCGCTGACAACGCCGACCGTGAGGACGAGATCCTCCGCGAGAAGTCCCTGTTCGAGTTCGCTACCTATGCGACGGGCCGCCAGAACGTGGCCTTCGTCGACGTCAAGCTCACGCTTAAAAAGCGCTTCAACCCCATTGTTACTGCCATCGAGTCTACTGTCGGCTTCTTTTGGGACACCTTCGCGACCCCCGACGACACGTGCGAGGCCTTCCTGTACCCCTTCGACGGCAAGGAGGCGCTTACCGTCCCCGGCCTGCCTGGCGCGGCCGAGCTCAAGTCTCAGCAGAGCAAGAGCGCCTACGATGGATTCGTCTGGGCCATCGTCAACAAGGAGCACATGAAGCAGTTCCGCGATGAGCGCTACGACCTGTCCATCACCGTGACCAAGGACAACCCCAAGCTCCCCGCTTGGTTGACCGTCATGACCGAGAGCGCCGAGATCACCGACATCCTGCTCACCCCCGAGCTCATCAAGGCTGCTGAGCAGGCGGGCGAGCAGCTGGACTACCTGATCATCTCCGACCAGCCCACCGAGCGACCCACGACGTATGTCTTTTCCCTCCCTCCCCTTTTCCCCTCCCCTCTTCCGCATAACTAACATCCCCTCCAGCCTGGACGAGACAAACCCCCGCAAGCGCATCTTCCTCAAATACCGCCTCCCCTCGGACAACAACTACGCGACTCTCGTGCCCATCTTCTCCTACTTCCTCACCCTGCCCGACATCCTCGTCAAGCAGGCCCACTTCCGCCCCAACGTCGTCCGCACGCTGCGCGAGGTGCGCGACCGGCTCATCAACCGCATCAAGAAGGAGGCCGAGGACGAGAAGGCCGAGGAGCGCGCCGTCGAGCGCGAGAAGGCCAAGAAGGCCGAGCGCGACGCCAAGCTCGCCGCCCTCGACGCGAAGCAGCAGAAGAAGTACCTCGAGAAGGAGAGGGAGAAGGAGCTGCGGAAGCAGCAGAAGAGGAGTACCACCAGGGCGTAATAAGTGCCGGCTTGGTTGGCGAGGATGTGATCATTCGTGATGGGTTGAGGGGATTGTGGAAGTTTGGTTAGGGCGTGTAAGGGGGTTAGCAGAAGCTGAGTGGTGTTGCATTATCTGTAATTGATACCGTGTAGGTATAGCGTATAAGATAACGAGACAGTCTGTATGAGACCTTGTTATCAAGTTTCTGGCTCACCGCGTCTGTCGAGACGTCCAGGCTCTGGTTCCTATCACCAAGTGTCAACGCCCGGGACAATGTCCGTCTCGAACCACCTGCCCCAATCAACTTCAACGCCTCCAAGCAGCACGACCACCACGTACGACCACAGATGCCGGGGAACTCGGGATCCCGTCCGCTCTCCCATCGATAAGCCGGCAATCGTCAGACTAGTACTCGGGTGGGTGACCACCGGGGAATCCCTGATGTTGTACGTTCTTTTTGCCCTCCTCCACTTGGCCACCTGTTTGCTATGTTGGTGGAGAGGGATGGCGACGGTCGCATACAGCAAGTGTCAGTCGAACTTGCGAGTGCTCAAGGCACGCGCGATCAAAACAGGGAGAAAAGCGGAGGAGTATGCTTGTAAAGTCTGAAAAGGGTGTATATCCGGAGTTATGGCTGGCGATACAGCAGGGCCGCCATTCTTTCGGAATAGGGGTCGAATGATACGAGTCCGCTGCCATCCATGTCACTTACTGTACCTGCCTGGGAAGCCATATCACTTCACCCGTTGTATGCCTCCCCGTCATATAGTCCGCCCCCTTCCATTCTCTCAACGCCGGCCAAACGGTGTACCATGACTCGCAAGATGTCCTCTTCCCCACCACAGCCGCCCGAGTTTTTCATATCCCACGACTCGGCCACGAAGAAGCATCAATCAGCTCCAAAGGTCCGATGGTGTAGTTGGTTTATCACTGTCAGTCTAACACACTGAAGGTCCCCGGTTCAAGCTCGGGTCGAATCACACTTTTTGCTCCGGTGTGATGATGATTGGGGAGGGGTTGGGATTAGCATCGATAGAGGTATCAAGCTGCGGCTGCCCCTTTGTTTTGCACGCCATACTGTCTGGCTTAGACTGAGCAGTTGGGCATGCCGGTCTGGCGTCGTGCCACTTGGCCTTCGAATAAGGGATGAACTCGTCCTGGCTCAGATTCCCGAGGTGCGTCGAGACATCCGGAGTGAGGCGGACTGCTGTAGTCGGGCCCCGGCCGGTTAAGGCAGTGTCACGACAAGATCTTTGAGAACAGTTTCCATCAAGAAGAAAAAAGACTTAAACATTGTTCAAGTAGCTAAACTTTGAACTGGGATGCAGAGGCGTGTACTTACTAAGAAGGAAGGGGTGGTCAGGGGTGTCCTCCAACTGTTCTCATGGTGGAGGGCCTACGATCTCATCAGTTCCATAGAACAATCCATCATTGGTATCAGAATGTGAATTGTGCTGTGGAATTTTATGCTTCGGCAAGGAACCGTAGTGCAAGTTTCAGGTTGAACGAGTGGGGCGAATCAGGGGCCAGAATAATCGACTGCCCCTCATTAACGTCTGTGGTTGACATGACAACGGCCGCATCGGCGCATTCCTGTGTTTATCCAGCACGAGCCAATGAGGCGCCGAAAACCACAGCCATTAAACAACCAACATAGAACGAGACCGCCCGCCATCACAGCGCTTACCACACCCATTCCTCCACCATTTCTAGATCAACACTTCGCTTTACATACCATACATTGACTGTGCCGGACGATCGGTTGATATCAAGCAGTGATATAGCTGATATCACTTCGCTTCTCGCATTCCACCCTGTTGTTGACTCAAACCAACATCCTTCGCGCATTCTTCGCGACTCGTTTTCCGTTTTGCGCATGGCTGCGCTGAGCATGACATTGTTCTAGCCCTTTTGACATTTGACTGTCTTTTGCACCGAAAGTTGTTCCATTCCAGACCAATGGATACTACGGACTCGGTATGTTCCTCCTTCGTGTTGACATTGCACATTGTTCGTCGCGTTCGAAGAGGGCTGACGCTGAGAGATGGAAATAGGTCCATCCATTGCGATTGTCCAAAGAGACACCTACTTCCTCACCAACAAAAATGGCGAATCCTATTCCACGCCCGCTCTCGGAGCTGTCTCCCATGGAAAAGCGACGCAACTCGCCCAGCTGGAACCAACCTTCCAAGGTAAGACATGCTGCTCCTGGCTGCTAGGAGACGTCTTCGTTGCTAACAAGCGCGCAGCAGAAGATGAACCTAACCACTGATTCATCCCCATTCCAGTCCTCGCCTCTGGACGGCACAACGTCGCCTCGACTATTCTGGCAGAACCGCAGCTTCAACTCCGAAAACACACCACTAAGCGGCCGCTCCGGATCGCCATCACCGACGCGCCGCTCCTCCATCGAACGCCTGCAGAGAGCCTCGCGTGTGAAGAACAGCAACATCCTCGCACTCGAGCAGAAACAAGAATACGACCCAACAAGGGTACCGCAAATTGAACGGCCCCTTAGTAAGGTCCAGGGCAATGCCTTTGGCGGTACCGGCGTCCAGGGCCTGCGAGCAAGCCGAAAAGACGGTCTCGGCCACCACAGGAACGACAGCAAGGGACATCTTCCTCTCTTCAGCGACGCGCCCGTTCTTCCCAAGCCTACAGATTCCGTCACGACCCCTCCCATGACGTTCAGCAAGACGCAGCCGTCGCCTACCAAGTCGGCACTCTCCCCTACCCGCTTCAAGAGCAGCTTCGATCAAGAGTCGGGCGATCTCTCGGACGGGGAGGTGGAGCTGCCGGAGGGCAGATACCAGCACAAGCATGCCAAGAGTGTGACGTTCGACACCGCACCGCCCGAGGTGAACGAGTACGAAATGGCGACGCCAGATATTTCGTCTGTTGGATCAAACTCGCGCGAGGGTAGCTACGAATCCGAAGAAGACGAAGAATTTGACGACGAGCACTACTACGGCCACGAGCACGACGGGCACGAGGACAGCTTCGACGCCTCTCTAGAAGACACGGATAAGACACCCGTGGTCGGACCAGACGACAGCGACTGGCGCCAGGGCATTCAAAACGAGTATAACCAGAGCCCAAGGCCAGAGGATCTCCCAGCAGCCAGCAGGCCGCAGCACAAGCGCACCGACTCGACCAACTCGAACGGTGACCATAGACCCCTGCCTCCGTTACCGGGAATGGAGCTGAAGAGGAGCAACTCGGCAACCTCGAACGGTCTTTCAGCAACTGCAGAGCGTATGCTCGGCGCCAATAGAAACCTCCCCACACCACCGCCCGCAGCGATGAGCAAAGCAGAGATGCAAAACATCGGCAACGGCAAGATGACTCTGGAGGAGCGACTCAAGCTCATGATGCTCTCTGACGACGGTAAGACCGCCGCCGAGCAGCAGCGCGAGCGACGCATGAGGCGTGCCGGTGCTCGGGACCGTCACGGCAGTCAGACACCGGAGCGCGAGCTCCATTCTCCCCCTGTTCAATCGCCTGAACAGGCTTCGCCAGGGAAGACCGAAGAGGAGTACGAGGCCGAGGACACTATTGGTGACATTTCTGGGCTTGAGGAGTACCAGCTACCTCCTCGAATTTCTCGAGAGTCCATCTTGCGCCGCGTCAACGGCGACAAGTCGCTCGAGCGCGAGTCTGACTACAACTTCTCGTCTCCTGCGCCCAGCTCTTCCCCCGAGCGACGCCCTGCCTATGACATTGATCCAGACGTTCCACTTCCCAGCTGCGAGGATAGTATCCTCGAAGACGAGGACGAAGGCAGTGTCATCATTAACCGTGACGCCGCCGCCTACGACGTCGACGACATTCCGGAGATCTACGAGCGATCCGTGTCAGCGATGTCTGAGGATCCGGAGCAGCGAGGAAACGAGCAGGATGAGGACATCGAGAGCCAGTATTCTGACGAACAGTCCCTGAAGGCCAGCACTCAAAAGGCGGAAGAAGATGGAACCTCTACTCCTCGTGCGACTACTCCCAATGACGAGTCGTCCCAGCCTGCTACACATGGGCTGCATATCACTCCTGGGAGGACTGACGACTTCAGGGCGAGCTTCAACTCTTTCATGTCGCTTGAGCCCCAGGAGGAGGACGCCGTCAACGAGCCGAAGCCAACGCAGGCCCAGAGTCAGCAGAGGCCGCAGACACCTCCTCTCACCAAGCCTGAGTACGACGGATCTGGCTGGGGTGATCTAGAAGATGAGTATGGTGAAGAGCCTGGCACACCGGATTCGGTTATTCACCATCCGATGCCTGACTCCGACTTTGAGGATGAGGTTCGCGACTCACCGGCAATTCCAGAGAAGGTCGCCACTATCAAGTCAGCGTCCGGTTCCAAGCTCAAGACGCGGCCGTCTGCTACCCCCTCCGACCTCATGGCCATGCGGGAACAGCGGCGCATCGTCAGCCGCGAGGTGCCCAATATCCCAGCCATCCCGGAGCGTCACCGCAACCGCATCTCCCAGAACTTGGAGGGTCAAGATCCCTTCTCCGCTAGCGACGACTTCCTCGAGCGCCACCCAAGCTTTAAGAAGCGCAGTCTGACACTCGACCTCGATCTCGGTCTCAGCCTTGATAAGGACTTTGACCGGGTCATCGAGGCCCAAAAGGTGGCTTTTCAACAACTTGTTCCCCCCACCCCTTGTCCTTCTTCGTCTACACAAGCGTCTAGACGACACGTTCAGCAAGCGACCTCTTCTTCGGCTACTACTACAACAGACTTATCACGCAATGCTAACATCACGTCCCGAAAACAGCGCGGTTACCTCATGCGCCAGAACACGAAACTTGTCGCCGCGAGCGACAAAGAGTCGGACGAGTTCCGTGGATACCGATCTGCGGGTAACTCGCCCATCAAGGGCACGAGGCCGGAGTCGTGGACTGTCGAGCCCTGGAACGGTAACACGCGGCAGAGGAGCGTGCGGAAGCGCACAGCCGTTGCTGACAACGGGCCCGTGCCACCGCTCCCTGGACTGGAGAGTAACGCCGTTGCAGCTGCTTCTGGCTTGAAGCCCCTTAGCGAGGAAGACCTCAACGCCGAGATGGCTGGCCCTGACAGCGGCGAGAGGGGTAGATTGTTCGTCAAAGTGATGGGTGTCAAGGACCTTGACCTCCCGATTCCGAGAAGTAAGTCTGTTGTTCGCTCATGCGGCATCAATCATACTGACAAACACAGATGAACGAACCTGGTTCTCCCTTACGCTCGACAACGGTGTGCACTGCGTAACCACAGCCTGGCTTGAACTTGCCCGCAATGCACCGATCGGTCAAGAATTCGAGCTCGTCGTACCCAATGACCTCGAGTTCCAGCTCACTCTCAACGTCAAGCTCGAGAAGCCCGCCTTTGTAGCTCGCAAGGCGATTCCCATGGCTCAGACCAAGGCGACCAAACCCAAGTCTGTCTCTACCTTTAGTCGCGTCTTCGCCTCCCCCAAGAAGCGCAAGGAGATGGAAGCCCGCCAGCGTGAGGAAGAGGAGCGTCTCCAGCGCGAGGCTCAGGCGGCCGCCGCCCTCCAGCAGAGGCAGGCTCAAGCTAACGCCAGGCCAACCGGCTATGACCTCCTTAGCCCACTGGTCGCCGAGGACGGCAGCTTCGCACGCGCATATGTCTCGCTCAAGGAGCACGAGTCACGCTGCTTCGGCCGGCCGTACCTGGTCGATGTGGCGACCTTCAACGAATGGGCCGCCGAAGAGGCCAGCTTCGCGTCGAGCGTCAAGAGCAAGCGGGGCAACAACGGTGTCGTCCGGAGGGCACCGTACAAGATTGGCAAACTGGAGCTGCAGCTGCTGTTTGTTCCCAGGCCCAAGGGCGCAAGTGACGATGATATGCCTAAGAGCATGAACAGCTGCATTCGCGAGATGAAGGCTGCGGAAGAGAGGTTGGCTCGTTGCTGGGAGGGACCGTTGAGTCAGCAAGGGGGTGATTGCCCGGTAAGTTACGCTTTGTCCCATTGGGAATGAT